TATACTTTTTAAGGAATATTCACTAAATTCCCTAAACAGAAAGTTGTGGTGGGTCAACAACAAAATGTAGAAAAAAAAACAGCACATAGAAAAAGGGGGAACAGAAAAAGACATGAAGGACACGGCGCAGGTAACAATGGAGGATTTTTATCTTATTTTAAGGATTTTTATCTTATTTTAAGTGTTCTGTTCCAAAAAGTAATGAGCAGCCACCCACTGATGCTGGTTTCCACAGTAATTGCTACAATTTTATTAAGTTAGACCACTTATTAGAACAGACATGCCCCCCCAGCTGTTTTGATTTAAACTGGACGGTCCAGATTCTGGAGCTGTATCCCGCAGAGACAGCCGACTGTTCTGCTCTTCTTTGTATCAGATTTATTGTAAAATAACATTAATATGATAATAAAATTACATAATAATACAAATAAAATAACTTAATATAAATAATTATAAAATAACTGTGACAAGACCAATCTCGCCACATTGCATTGGAGAAGCCTGGTTGCTCGTCTGCAGCCTTTGGACTATGGCCCCCTGTTAAAAGACATCTTTTTACCTGCAGAAAAGATTTATTCATTCTTTTCTGCCTGGTGTTCGGTAGATTCAATCTACCGAACAACCGCACGAATGACTGGACCACCTGGGAGCTGGAGTGTGCCGGCAATTAGCCTCCCTGAAGCTGCGGTTAACCGCAGCTTAATTGACGAATGCTGGGTGGCCGCCATTCGTATCACGAACACGAGGTCGCGGCCATTTTAAACATGCGAATACACAGCGGTGTTCGACGCTTAATTCATGGAACTGAAATCGGACACAGTTTTGCGCGAACACCGCTGAAGCCGCCGACCTCCCTTCTTGTTCGGTGAAAGTGCACGAATGGCCCGGTGTTCGGTAGTTTTGCTTGAATGTGTTATACCCCAGATAGGAATCCCATGGAGCTCATTCGCATGAAACTGACTGTGTAAGGACTTTAGCTCCATGGCGATTACACTGTATTCGTGTGGTCTGAGCGCCATTCGCTTAATAATGTGCGCTCAGACCTGAGCTATCTGGGGATATGTTAAATGTATGCTTTTAATGTTATGTGTCTCACATGGTGTATTTTAACAGTAATTCATGTTTTAGTATCGTCACGTGCATAATGGCGATTTGCCTTTGTCTTGGGAAATAATTGAATTACTTCTCAATTATCTCCAAGGCAGATGGGAGGAAGCCAGGATGCATTGTGGGAATATACTGTGACTGTGTGTCCTATTTGTCAACTTGTCTGTCTTTTGTCACAGTCTCCCTAGGGGAGTGTCCACCAGGTGGGAGACCTGCATAAATACTGGGCAGGTAGCCCTCATTAAACAGACCACTGCTTGACCACCAACACGGAGCCTTGTCTCGTCTTTGGGGGAGATTTACTGAATGCTGATAGAGACTGATTGCCAGGAGTGTAAGCCGCTTGGATGCATTTCCTATTCGTCTGCTAGCAGTGATTCGTATGGTTCCAGTTCGTGTGTTTGGAGTGTTATATTGGATGCCGTTCTGGAGTTTGGAGCATTCCCTTATTGGCGGTTCATGAGTTTAGTGTTTTACAATAGCTGTGCCTGCATCTCTGAAAAGGGGGAAGATCGCCTAAACTGTTTTTACCCCTTGTGTGTAAAACAGTCCGTTACAATAACATTAATAGCATATTATTAACAAAAATAAAATAACATGAAACAGAAATGAATAACTGGGAGAGAGGGAGAACAGTAACAGACAATGTGGAGAGACAGGGAATGGTAAATGATAATGGGGAGAGAGGGGGGACGGTAAAAGATAAGGGGGAGAGAGAAGGAACGGTAACTGATAATGGGGAGTGAGGGGGAACGGTAACTGATAATGGGGAGAGAGGGGGAACGGTAAGAGACAATGGGGAGAGAGAGGGGAGACAATGGGTAAGAGAGAGGGGGAACAGTAACTGATAATGGGGAGAGGGGTGGACAGTAAGAGACAATGGGGAGAGAGAGGGAACGGTAACTGATAATGGGGAGAGAGGGGGGGCAGTGATTCGTATGGTTCCAGTTCGTGTGTTTGGAGTGCTATATTGGATGCCGTTCGGGAGTTTGGAGCATTCCCTTATTGGTGGATCGTAACTGATAATGGGGAGAGAGGGGGAATGGTAAGAGACAATGGGGAGACAGAGGGAACGGTAACTGATAATGGGGAGAGAGGGGCAAATGTAACTGATAATGGGGAGAGAGAGGGAACGGTAACTTAACAGAGAGAGAGAGGGGGAACAGTAACCGATAATGGGGAGAGAAGGGGAACGGTAACAGATAATGGGGAGAGAGAGGGAACTGTAACTGATAATGGAGAGAGAGGGGAACGGTAACTGATAATGGGGAGAGATGGGGAACGGTAACAGATAATGGGGAGAGAGGGGGAATGGTAACAGATAACAGGGAGAGAGAGGGAACGAAATGGAAAATAGGGAGACCAGTAACATATTTGGGAAAGAAGGGGAACAGTAACTGATAATGGGGAGAGAAGGGGAACAGTAACAGATAATGGGGAGAGAGAGGGAACTGTAACTGATAATGGAGAGAGAGGGGAACGGTAACTGATAATGGGGAGAGATGGGGAACGGTAACAGATAATGGGGAGAGAGGGGGAATGGTAACAGATAACAGGGAGAGAGAGGGAACGAAATGGAAAATAGGGAGACCAGTAACATATTTGGGAAAGAAGGGGAACAGTAACTGATAATGGGGAGAGAGGGGGAACGGTAACAGATAATAGGGACAGAGGGGGAACGGTAACTCATAATGAAGAGAAAGGGGGAATGGTAACAGATAATGGGGAGAAAGGGGGAACGGTAACAGATAACGGGGAGAGAGGTGGAACGAAAATGGAAAATAGGGAAAATAGGGAGAACAGTAACAGATAATGGGGGAAAAAGGGGGAACACAGATAATGGGGAAAAAGGGGGAACACAGATAATGGAGACAGAGGGGGAATGGCAACTCATAATGGAGAGAAAGGGGGAACGGTAGCGGATAATGGGGAAAAGAGGGGAACAGTAACAGATAAGGGGGAGAGAGGGGGAACGATAGCGGATAATGGGGAAAAGGGGGGAACGGTAACTGATAATGGGGAGAGAGGGGGAACGGTAACTGATAATGGGGAGAGAGGGGGAACGGTAGCGGATAATGGAGAGAGAGGGTAAATGATAATGGGAGTAGAGGGGAGCATAAAAGTATAATGAGCAGAGAAAGGGAATGGAAAGAAGAATACAAAGGGATACAAATTGAAATGAAACCCCATGCTAATTCTCAATGCTCACACAGAGCAGGATGGGGGAAAGACTTTATGAGCCCAGGGCAACCTGCCATCATGTATATAAATAACCACGTAAATTCAGGAATCTATCATGCAGAGTACTATCTGTGGGATGGTTTGTCCAAGGCGGTAGAAAGCACCCCATCTCCTCCCAGAACGGCGAGTTGTGTGAAGACATATAGGAGGTTTATTTTCCCGCAGTGATGGTTAATGGACACTCTGTGTACATGCAGTGCTCCTGCATGTGGTTCTGTGTGTATTTCCAAACTAACAGGAATATGATGATCCCTTAAAGTGGAATTGTCATATTTTTTATTGGTTTCCTTTCCTTAAGCCCTCTGTATATTAACACTTACACCTCTCCTGTGTTACTTTATTTATTTCTCTTTCTTCCTAATGGAATATTTCAATATCTGGGTGACGCCATTTTGTTCTCCGATGCCATGAAATCTTGCAGTTTGTCTTCTGTGGGATTCTTTTGACTGACGGATTGTGGGTAATTTAGCATTGCAACTGAAAATGTAAGTTTGCGTAAAGGACTGTACTGTTATGTCACTTTATAAATGTGATAATTGCGAATATAAAAAAGTAATTGTAGTGGAAACGTTTTATATAAATATTTATAAGTATTTTTTAATATAAACATTTACTTACCTTTTTACCAGTGCCATCAGCAGTCCACCTATGGACGTTTGCTCCATCCCTTGCAACGCCATCATGGCGCAGAACATTGTAATTTAAAAGCATTGTGGACACTAGGCCCATGTGTGGCTCTCGTGATCCACAAAACATATCTCTCTCGTAGAGAATCATTGTATGCCAAGATAGTCCATGAGAATCTGCTCATTGTTGACGAGCAGAAGCCCAGATCCATCGACTACAACGAGCGGATAAGTATCAAATGAATATATATATATATTTCTTTCGATTCAAATTAGATTTTACTTCTACATAAAATGAAGCAGGGGCTTTTTTTCTTGTGTGATCTTTGGCAATAGGCAGGTTTTAAAGAACACTGTAGGCACTAAAACAATATTCATCTTTGTTGTGGATCAGAAATGTTGATCTTTGTTATATTCAGAGGAAGCCCAAATTGTTGTTACAAGTGCACTTGGAGAAGCGAGAATTAGACACCAGACACCTGTTGGTATTCAAAATAAGCCTCTGACGTTTTATTCATCAGCCGGGTTTTATACATTAAAAAGTAAGTGCTTACGTGCAAATACTCTTAGAACAGTAATAGGAAGAGAATACAGATAAGACATAGGGATGAGCGTCATGTACATATAACATAAGTTTCAAGGTAAGAGAGAACAAAATGATTAGAGCAGAGACAACTTAGGTGGGGGCTCGCTGCTCCCGGAACTTAGACATATATGGTCTTAAGTGTTGTTTAAGCATCAAGCATTTCCTGAGTCCAAGTTAGCCAATTTTAATATAGGATATCATTATATGACACCTATAAGCTTGAGCCTTGGAATCAAGATAAATTCTATCACAATCTTATAGAAGTAGTTCTTGTGCATTCCCTTCTCCTATTCGATCTGGTTCACTTGTTTGAAGACTTGATAGCACGGCCTCAGGCCATCCTTCCAAGCCCTCTGAATATGAGTTGTGACGGTGCCGTATCAAATGATACCAGAGGTTCCCAGTTAGGGAAATGGTCCCTGCTGATAAAATACTGCATGAAATAATTATTCCGTCATGGGCAATTAAGGGAAGGACAAGCATGATGGAATAATTCCATTGTTTGTTGTTAAGGGGATAAACGAACATGCTATGCAACGTCAGTGGGCTTGAAAAGTTATATACGCATATTTGCTTGGTTTTCAAGATCTCTTCAATTTTGCACAAATTAAAAAACCTTTGCAACTGTCCGTAGCAGAACTTCGCCTCCTTAGCCACACCTCCCCTTTTCACAAATATTCTTTTTGATTGAGAGGTAAACAACTTAGCTCAGCCAATGAGAGATCAGCGTGTTATTGAATTGACTCCACCAAGCAGCCAATCACTGTCCTCTTCCTATTTGTATATTATTTCAAAGTCACGCTAACACGAAAGGGGGCAGGTAATATGAGTACCGTGATTGGCTGGGGGGCAGAGTCGTGTCATCAACTCGGCCTATTTTTATTGCTCATATGCTTAACTAGGTACGTCTAATGAGGAAGTTGCTTTGTGGAAAGAGGGAGTTTGGCTGGGAGGCGTGGTTATGCTGGAGAAAGCTGATAAGAAAAAACTACCAATATGAAACAAAAACAAACGCACAAGTTGACTCTGATAGGGCCTAAACTCAGGACATGCAATGGTGGAAGCCTCTCAGACCCGGCTCTCCACGAGGTTTAGCCACAAAAAGCAGATTAGAGCAGATTTGAACAAGTTTTGCATAGAACGGTCCAGGTTCATATTTAGAAACGTTCTACGTCTGATCCTCAAGAGTAGCCTTTGCTCAGTCTCCATTTCTCATGGAGGGATTTTCAGGATATTTCAGAGAATTTCTGGGTACACACGAACAATAGAAGTAACATCCCTTTACACCCTGTTCTAAATTATGCAAATTATATTTTTCTCATTTACCTAAATAATTGATGTAAATAACAGTCAGCATAATTCTCATGTTATCAACTAGAGTACAATTCAAATTTTATTGAACAAACCTCCTAATGATAATAGTATTTTTTATAAACATAAAAAACTTACAATGCACTGTTCCAAATTATTACGCACAGTAAGTTTCAAAACACTTTATAGGTTGTAAAGAACTGAAAATTGTCATTTGTTGTGTTTGCAGCATATTAACTGAAATCAAAAGCTATTTCAATCAAACTTATAACATTTTAACTTTTTAAACATTTTAACCGGTCACGTTACATTTTAACATAGGACCCCTTATTTGATAGCAGCTTCACAAGTCTTGCATCCATTGAACTTGTGAGTTTTTGGACAGTTTCTGCTTGAATTTGTTTGCAAGATGTCAGAATAGCCTCCCAGAGCTGCTGTTTGGATGTAAACTGCCTCCCACCCTCACAGATCTTTTGCTTGAGAATGCTCCAAAGGTTCTCAATAGGATTGAGGTCAGGGGAGGATGGAGGCCACACCATGACTTTCTCTCCTGTTATCCCCATAGCAGCCAATGAAGCAGAGGTATTTTTTGCAGCATGAGATGGTGCATTGTCATGCATGAAAATGATTTCATTACGGAAAGCATAGTTCTTCCTTCTGTACCAGGGAAGAAAGTGGTCAGACAGAAACTCCAAATAGGTTATCTTTACACCTTCGGTGACCCTAGAGGGGCCGACCAGCTCTCTTCCCATTATTCCGGCCCAAAACATGACTCCACCACCGCCTTGCTGACGTCGCAGCCTTGTTGGAACAGGGTGGCCGTCCAACCATCCACAACTCCATCCATCTGGACCATCCAGGGTTGCACGGCACTCATCAGGGAACAGAACTGTTTGAAAATTAGTCTTCATGTATTTTTCTGCCCAATGCATCCGTTTCTGCTTGTGAGCATTGGTTAGTGGTGGCTGAATAGAAGGTTTATGCACAGTTGCAAGACTCTGGAGGACTCTACACCTTGACGTCCGTGGGACTCCAGAGGCACCAGCAGCTTCAAATATCTGTTTGCTGCTATGTAATGGTATTTTAGCAGCTGCTCTCTTGATCCGATGCATGGATCTGGCAGAAATCTTCCTCAATGTGCCTTTATCTGCACGAACCCGTCTGTGCTCTGAATCAGCCACAAATCTCTCAATAGTGCGATGATCACGCTTAAGTTTTTGTGAAATATCTAATGTTTTCATACCTTGTCCAAGGCATTGAACTATTTCACTCTTTTCGGCAGCAGAGAGATGCTTTTTCTTCCCCATATTGCATGAAAATGGTGCTCTGCTTAATAATGTGGAACACCCTCCTTTAGTAGTTTTTCCTTAAATTGGGCTCACCTGGCAATCTAATTATCACAGGTGTCCAAGATTGTTTTCAGTGATCAAAAGAGCCCTGAGAAACAATGCCATACATGAGTTAAACTGAAAAACAAAATATTTAATCTTTGTGACACTTAAATAGAATTTGCATAATAATTTGGAACATTATATCAGCAGATTGGTAGATTTAGGACCGGAGATTTCCCTGAGTTACTGCTGCTATCTCCTAGACAGGAGTCTGTTGTGTTAGTTTTCCTGCCAACTCCCAGTTCCAAACTCTGAGTCATACAATAATCCCTATACATGTATTACATCGCAGTCTGATATTACACGTGGCACACACCATCTAACTTCACTCTGGAGCTGGATAGAGTCATATATACATATAGATTTCTATGGTCTCTGCCCGGATCATATAGGGGATTAGTAACCGTTAGGACCTCAGGATCTCCTGCCCAAATCATTTAAACTAGTTTTATAACTCAGTGAAAGGATTCTTCAAATAAATCACACATTTAGATTTGAAATATCTATTTTATTTATAAGGTCAATATTTTTATCACAAGTAATTAGTATTTTTGAGCAGGATTGTAGGTTTTTCATTATATCCAGGATATGCTATGTCACATGGTAACTCCAATTACTATTCCACACTGCCTCCTCCTTTACCCCGATCTCCCACGCGCTGCCTCCTCCTTTACCCCGATATCCCAAGTGCTGCCTTCTCCCGCACCCCGCCATCCCATGCGCTACCTTTTCACGCATCCCACTATGCCACACTGCCTCCTCCCACACCCCGCCATCCCACACTGCCTTCTCCCACCCCCCGCCATCCCACACTGCCTCCTCCCACACCCCGCCATCCCACACTGCCTTCTCCCACACCTCGCCATCCCACACTGCCTTCTCCCACACCTCGCACATCCCACACTCGCCATCCCACGCTGCCTTCTCCCACACCCCGCCATCCCACGCTGCCTTCTCCCACACCCCGCCATCCCACGCTGCCTTCTCCCACACCTCGCCATCCCACACTGCCTTCTCCCACACCTCGCCATCCCACACTGCCTTCTCCACACCCGCCATCCCACGCTGCCTTCTCCCACACCCCGCCATCCCACGCTGCCTTCTCCCACACCTCGCCATCCCATGCTGCCTCCTACCACACCCCACCATATTACGCAGCCTCCTCACGTACACCGTAATCCCAGGCTGCCTCCTCCCACCCCCTGCCATCCCACACTGCCTCCTCCCACACCCCGCAATCCCACGCTGCCTTCTCCCACCCCCTGCCATCCCACGAGGCATGGGACAGAATGAGCGATGTGACACCTTTATTGCGATGTATTGGGATCTGCACCAATGCTGGTCCATGAATTATACATTCGCAGAGGTAACGATAAATCGGTTATTAATACAGATTCTAGTTTGAGAATAAATTTTAAACTTTGCAGAGGATTACATAAAATACTATTTTGTACTGAAATTCACAGTAATTTAGCAATATATATGTAAAACTTGAACAAAAAAAAGCCCAATTTTTGTGGGTTATACTATGAATGTTAAATGAGTGTGTGCTGCTTTCTTTACGTTCCAATAATCTGAGACAGAAAGGAAAGCTGTTTTTATTTAAAAAAGATCTCTGTAAATTGTTGTTTTAGTATAAAAGTTCCCTCAAACCTTTTACCCCCAAAGAAAATACCTGAAATGAAACTGTCAGTAAGAAAACACAGAATGTCACTTTATACAACGATAACTGATCATGTTATCAGATATTGTCTGTCGGAGTACGGCAAACACTGCTTCTTAATGGCGTCTCTGCCAGAACATCGCTCTTTCCCGGCTCAGAAAATACAGCATGTGCATAGCTTGCGAGGACAGCAACACCAAAAGAAAACTAAATCAAAATTAAACACAGAACTAAACCAAGCTAAAATAATAACAACTGTATAGTCCGTTAATGAAGCATTCTACACAAACACCAAGGCTCAGTCCCAGTGGAGTTCTGCCCAATGCAGTGACATGAAGACAGCTCCTTTATGAAACAGAAAGGGTAATCTGATTAGGGTCAGATACAAATATTCTCAGATCCAAAGAAAGAAAAAAGGCGTTTCCCATGTACATTGGATGATTAGAAAAGAATATCTTGCTGTCCGTACGTTTTGCTAAAATGTGTTCTAAAAGCGGACAGTCATTCACATGCAATCATACAACAAGAAATGTATTCACAAAACACCAAAACTGATTTGGGAAAAAATATAAATTGCCAACAGCTCGGTTGTTTTAGCCTAAATTTTGCTAAAGTTTTCAATTCACTACAGTGTTGAATAAATAAATCTGTGTGTACCGCCTATCAACATCTAACTAATTAACCAATCTCGAGGTGACACGTCCACACGCCCAGAATGCTCAGCCGTAGGCCAATGCTGACATTGGATGGCGCTCCAGCTACTGTGGACTCCAACAATGGCTTGGCATTTCTCTGGCAGGCAACACATTGGCCTCAAAGTAATATTTGTGGATAAGATTTTAAAATGTTTTAAAATTTTGAGATCAAATTTGAAAATTATTTTAACATTTTTGAAATTGTTGATTTTTTTTTATATGATTCTTTATATTTTAATATTTAAAAAAAAATATATATTTTAAAAGTTTATCCAAAAATATTAAATTTAGGACATCAACAGAAAAGTTAGCTCCAGAGAATCGGCAGAGCTACACGTGATTGGCAAAGCATCATGGGAGGTGTAGTCCCACAGTCCCTAGAAAGTGACCTGTTGTCCTATGCCAGAGGTAGGCAACCTTCGGCACTCCAGATGTTGTGGATTTCCCCTGATGCTTTCCGAGCATTATGGGAGATGTAGTCTTCAGAATCTGGAGTGTGGAAGATTGCCACCCCCTGTTCTAGGTACTTGTGTGCTCACTATATTCTAAAAGCAAGCTCTGGGATTCTTATAACGGAATCCTGCAATAATTATTTAAAAAAAACAAAACAATGCATTCCATCGTTCTGTCACTAGATAAGTGCAGCATTCCACGTCAATCTTCCCCTGCGAAGGCCCAGACTGAACGCAACAAAAGCCAAGACAACAGGAAAAGAACAGATTAAAAACCTTCCCTTTCTATTTCCACCGAAGACGTTAAATGACAGCACTTTGGAAACGCTGTGTGCTCTCACCGCCATCCGCCTTGCTGCCTCGCTGTTGCCTACATGTGTCAGAAAGCAATATGTGAATGTTTCTGTGTGACAGCTTAAGGAGCCAGAGGAGAATTTGCTTGACATAAGATGCAGGACTTATCATTTCTTGTGTATTTCGCTGTCAGGATTTAAAATGCTGCTAAATGTGTCTGAATAACAATTTTACTGCCAAACAAAGCCACCATTTATCAGTAGAGCATCTCAGGAGCCAATTACCATGAAGAAGCCAATACTGTTCCTTGAAACTAAAAGAAATAACACAAATTTGTGATTATAGGGACACTAATGAATGCCATGTTTTGGCCACACGAAGCAGACATTTTAACGAACCACCAATATGAGTCTTTAAAATAAGCAGCATTTAAATACCCACCATTGTCCATGTATCATATTAGCCTAATCACATCGTCCCACCAGAAAGCCTTCTTATCTATTAACAATGTATTTCGTAGGCAATCTGCTGCTGAAACAGAAAGCCCTGGTTTATGAATATATCGTTGACCTGTCTCCCCGGCTCGTCCTCCAGTGTCTGCGTTCCTTGGTCCTGAAGCTGCTCCTCTAGTTCAGAGAGTCCAGAAAAACTACTCAGCCCTTCCGTGTCCTTGTAGGTCGGGAAAATGGCCTTGTTCCTATCTATCACAAACATTTCATGCCCACCCTCGTCCCTATATTCCTCCAATTGAGCGAATGTGGTTGGCCCATCAGAGTAGTCATTTACATACAAGATATTTTCTTCCTTCTTGGCTTTTTTTCTCTTGTGGTGCTTTCTGTAGATCATAAAAAGAAGTAGAAGAGCCGTGAGCGCCAACAAGGATATGCCAATGGCAATGGTGGTCTGAGTTGCCATGCTCAACGCATTGAATTCCATACTTTCCATGTCATATAATGGCTCTTGGCTGATATCCACAGATGTGTATGAGCGTGACTGCTGGTTCGACAGGTTTACCGTCAGGTGAAATAATACTTTTGCAGTTCCACCAGGATTGGAGGCTACACACTCATATTTGCCAGCATGGGACATGGTGATGTTGTTCAACAAGAGCATACCACTGCCAGTATCGGAGTCAAACTGCTCCCCCACACTCCTCTCACTGAGCTCAAAGGTTCTGCTGCTGGTAGACTTAATATTAACCTTGGTAGAAGTTAAACGAGCATGGGCTACCTTCCTCCAAGTAACCAGTGGTTGGGGATATCCTGTCGCTCGGCAAGAGACTCGAAGCTCATCTCCCAGACGAGCAGTCATCTCCATGGGATCAACGAGGACTACAGGAGGGATACATACAAGACTGTTTCCAGAGATGTCCAAAAGGTTTTGGTGAGACAACCTTAACGGCTCGGAACAAATTAGTTTTTTGTCCAAGGAAGTGAGAAGTCTTTGTCCTTCTTCTCTCATCCAGGACCTAAGCCAATGGAGTGCACAGTCACACCTCCAGGGGTTTCCTAAAAAAACAGAAAATAAAGGAAATGAGCTCGGGAGCAATTCAGAGAGATGTCATATCAAGGTTTGTATACATGTGATGGGTACAGAGAGCCAGGACCTATTTCATAATATTATTTCAGTAATTATGTGAGAATGATGCATTGTCCAGGATATGATGGACTCATATAACCAGCGTTAACCACCTCAAAGTGACAGGTGTAGACTGCTTGCAAGAGAGGGAGAACGTATTGGGGAGATTCGGAGTGAGCAATTATTGCTGTATCTGTATATGTATTATTATATCCTCAGCCAGGGAAAAGTAATCATTATGAAAACGAAGGTCTGTGTTTGGGGAGCATTGACAGATAATTGAACAGAAGTAAATTGTGACACAGTTGGAATTATACAGTAATATTGCAGCCACTAGACTAGGAGTAGGTGAGCTTTGGCACTCCAGATGTTGTGGACTACATCTCCCATAATGCAAAAGGTTGCTTCCACTACACTAGAATCTAGTGATTCAGGACTATACAGATTGTAATGTAAATAGACTGGATGTTCGCCTTGCGTCTGTATGCTGATTGGTCGGCTATCTGTCACATGATTTTATTTAGTCTGTCTAAAGTCACAGGCTCTCATGTGTGAATAATAGTTGCACAATGAATGGCATGCATAGAGCAAATATATTGTGGCCCCATTAAAGAAAAAGTCACCCCTTCTATTTATGACATAATGACCCGTTTACTATAGTATCACTGCCTGCGTGCATGCATACAGCGTGGGTGGTCTGCTTGTTACACTGTCACTTTCTGTTCACTAGCATCACATTGCTACACACTGGCTTTTTATAGATTAAGCTTATTTAAAACACAAAAATAAAACATCTGGCAAAAAGTAAAAAATCCAGACATTTCTACCTTCATTATAATTTAGACATTTTTAATAACAGATACTGGTCTATGACACATCCCGCACCCCACTCACCTTTTAGCCGGAGGACTTGTAGGCTGATCAAAGGCCGCAGGATGGAACGGCTAACGGTTCGCAGATTGTTCCTGCTTAGATCCAGCAGGGCCAGCGAGGACAGCCCGGAAAATGTCTGTTCCTCTAGAACTTCAATGCTGTTTTCTTGTAAATGCAGTTCCTGCAGTCTCTGTAATAAATGTATCTGCTTATTAAAAAGAAACGCCCCCTGTTATATCCCCTGTAACACCCAGCTAATACCCCCTGTATCACCAGGAATTCTGCTAATGCCCCCTGTAACACCCAGCACCCGATCAATGCCCCCAGTAACACCCAGTACCTGATCAATGCCCCCTGTAAGGCAGCACCCGATCAATGCCCCCAGTAACACCCAGTACCTGATCAATGCCCCCTGTAACACTCAGCCCCTGATCAATGCCCCCTGTAAGACACAGCACCCGATCAATGCCCTCAGTAATACCCAGCCCCAGATCAATGCCCCCAGTAACACTCAGCCACCGATCAATGCCCCCAGTAACACTCAGCCACCGATCAATGCCCCCAGTAACACCCAGCTCCCGATCAATGCCCCCAGTAACACTCAGCCCCTGATCAATGCCCCCTGTAAGACAGCACTCGATCAATGCCCCCAGTAACACCCAGCCCCAGATCAATGCCCCCATTAACAGTCAGCCACCGATCAATGCCCCCAGTAACACCCAGCACCCGATCAATGCCCCCCAGTAACACCCAGCACCCGATCAATGCCCCCAGTAACACTTAGCCCCTGGCTAACGCCCCCTGTAACACCCAGCCACCAGATCAATGCCCCCCAGTAACACTCAGCCCCCGGCTAATGCCCCCAGTACCACCCAGCACTCAGGCCCTGTTTCTGTCACCTGCAGATTTGAGAAGGTGTAGGCTAGGAGTCTGGTGATCTGGTTTCCTGCCAGGTAAAGCACTCGGAGGTGCTCAAGGCCTTTGAAGATGCTGCTGTTAATTAGATGTATCCGGTTGCCATTGAGAGCCAGTTCCACCAGGTGCTGCTGGGTAGAGAAGGCTCCTGGCTCTAGGCCTGAGATTGTGTTGTTCTGTATGTAGAGGTACTGGAGTCCTGACAGAGGAGACAGGTCCTGTTGCTGGATCTGAGAGATTACATTATCCTGGAGAAACACGGTCTGCAAAGAGAGGAGCAGATAAGTCTACGACATCTAGCATGAGCAAGCTGATCAAGTCAAATTCAAACTTTTATACAGCTCAGTGTATCACTGCAGCTCATTGTATTACTGCAGCTCATTGTATTACTGCAGCTCACTACAGCTCATTGTATCACTGCAGCTCACTACAGCTCATTGTATCACTGCAGCTCACTACAGCTCAGTGTATCACTACAGCTCATTGTATTACTGCAGCTCAGTGTGTCATTACAGCTCATTGTATCACTGCAGCTCACTACAGCTCATTGTATCACTGCAGCTCACTACAGCTCATTGTATCACTGCAGCTCACTACAGCTCAGTGTATCACTGCAGCTCACTACAGCTCAGTGTATCACTACAGCTCATTGTATCACTGCAGCTCTTTGTGTCAATGCAGCTCAGTGTATCACTGCAGCTCACTACAGCTCATTGTATCACTGCAGCTCAGTGTGTCATTACAGCTCATTGTATCACTGCAGCTCACTACAGCTCATTGTATCACTACAGCTCATTGTATTACTGCAGCTCAGTGTGTCATTACAGCTCATTGTATCACTGCAGCTCTTTGTGTCAATGCAGCTCATTGTATCATTACAGCACAATGTATCACTGCAGCTCACTGTCGCATTACAGCTCATTGTATCACTACAGCTCATTGTATCACTACAGCTCATTGTATCACTACAGCTCATTGTATCACTACTGCTCATTGTATCACTACTGCTCATTGTATCATTACTGCTCATTGTATCACTACAGCTTATTAAATTATTACAGCTCAATATTTTTTTGTCAGGTCTGTTTATTATTGAAGTTCTGTGTATTATTACAGCTTATTGTGTTCTCAAAGCTCATTATTGGACTATAGCTCACTGTAGTGGTCATGGTAGCTATTTTTGGACACTGCCTTTCTCCCACAGACTCTCTGTGGCCACGGATATAGTGTTCACCTCTGCATTATCCTTCCAGTGGTTATAACAGGCTGTGACAACAGAGGGAGGATCTCACCTATTGATACATTCCTCAAAATCTCACCAACATGGAATCTTCATTTACTCTACAGAGAGGAAACGTACTGTCATATGGACAGTACATAAAGTAGTGTTAATAATGGAAAATGGCGGCAGGAGCTTTTCTCGTTACTATGGTTACAGGACGATAACTGGTGAGGAGAATGGGTGGTTTTCAGACGCACCTGAGTAGAAGGATGGATACTCGATGGGATGTCCTTCAATCCCTTGGATCCACATTCTACAGTCATACTATAACATCGACATTCCACCGGGCAACCGAGACTCCGGAGGACCAGGAAAGCCGGGACCAAAAAGACAATGATCATGAAGATTGGGCCCAGTGATGCCATCTTACAGCAGCTGTAAGGAAACAAAGATGACAAGATTCAGACCAGCTACTAAGAAATAATAAATACTCCCAAATCTTCCCCTTACCTCAGCTACACATCAACGGAGCGGTACCAATTTTAGTCTTACGAGTCTGTTAAAGTGAAATTACAAATATTTTCCCTTTTTTTCACGCTAAGCCATTTTCAAGTTGAGCAAGCAGCATACTGCGAGTTTAATGACCAACAGAAAGTGGAATAATGCTTTAACAGTAAGAATGATCGTTTCACGTGCTATTCAACAAATAGTGATAATTCACCAATCTGGAGAGTTAGAATCCCTGAATCCCTCACACTGCAGCCTAGTTATTAACCAACCCTGACAATGTAATCTAGTTGATTCATGGCTCTACATTCTGCGTACTATGATAGACAATCTAGCCGGGATTAGTTCTAGATTAATGGATGGTATGGAGGTTTGTGTCTCTAGATAACCAATACGTTCAGTAAAGGACACTATTTACTATTTATGTCCTATAAAATCAGACCGGTAATAGATAATAGGAGGCACTTTAGATGTTGTGTTATGTTGTACACTTTACATTGTGGATTTAGTTGTGTTATCTTTATAGCACATAATATATATGATGGAAAAGTTATATTCCTCATCTTCTGTCTCTCTTTTCCCCTAATTTCGTGCCTCAGTCTCTCTGCTTCCATTAATCACATCCTCTGTCTCTTACTGTTCCTGTAATTCACATCCCCAGTCTCTTTCTGTTCCTGTCATTCACATACCCAGTCTCTTTCTGTTCCTGTCATTCACATACCCAGTCTCTTTCTGTTCCTGTCATTCACATACCCAGTCTCTTTCTGTTCCTGTCATTCACATACCCAGTCTCTTTCTGTTCCTGTAATTCACATCCCCAGTCTCTTTATGTTCCTGTCATTCACATACCCGGTCTCTTTATGTTCATGTAATTCACATCCCTGGTCTCTTTCTGTCCCTGTAATTCACATCCCCAGTCTCTTTCTGTTCCTGTAATTCACATCCCCAGTCTCTTTATGTTCCTGTCATTCACATACCCGGTCTCTTACTGTTCCTGTAATTCACATCCCCAGTCTCTTTCTGTTCCTGTAATTCACATCCCCAGTCTCTTACTGTTCCTGTAATTCACATTCCCAGTCTCTTACTGTTCCTGTAATTCACATTCCCAGTCTCTTACTGTTCCTGTAATTCACAGCCTCTGTCTCTCTGTTCTTGAAACCAAAAACAAACCTAGAGTGAAGCTATTGATTAAAGAATTTCACATTTTAGACCAATAACCAGAAAAGGTTATCATACTTTGGTATTTTTTCCATACAGACTAGTTTAGCCCACAAGTGCAGATAAATTATTTTAAAAGCCGTTTTGTGGGGGGGGCTGACCACCGAGCAAGATGGCCGCACACTGATCTGCTCCGGCATATGGGCTCCTTAAACTCAGAAACGTACACCAGCAGAGATCTCTAACAACCCCCCAAAATATGTCTCAATACAAAAATAATAAAACCTCCACTAAAGGAGATAAGCAATCCATGAACCAGTTTAGTAGCCCTTCTCTGAACTCTCTCTAAGGTATCAATATCCTTCTGAAGATACAGTCTCCAGTACTGTGTACACCAGACCCCCCAAATCCCAAGATGCTTTGACAAAACACTACATGAAGTGCTGGGCACCATAAAGTCACTTACTCACGGCTCCCCCTCCACTGGACCCGAAAGCAAGAGCTTATAGGGACACTGACGAGACCAGAACGTTGCCCCACAGTGCCCCAATGGGGAACATGGGATGGCAGGAAAACAAAAAACATAGAAACATAGAATGTGACGGCAGATAAGAACCATTCGGCCCATCTAGTCTGCCCAATTTTCTAAATACTTTCATTAGTCCCTGGCCTTATCTTATAGTTAGGATGGCCTTATGCCTATCCCACGCATGCTTAAACTCCTTTACTGTGTTAACCTCTACCACTTCAGCTAGAAGGCTATTCCATGCATCCACTACCCTCTCAGTAAAGTAATACTTCCTGATTTTATTTTTAAACCTTTGTCCCTCTAATTTATGACTATGTCCTCTTGTTGTGGTAGTTTTTCTTCTTTTAAATATAGTCTCCTCCTTTACTGTGTTGATTCCCTTTATATATTTAAATGTTTCTATCATATCCCCCCTGTCTCGTCTTTTCTCCAAGCTATACATGTTAAGATCCTTTAACCTTTCCTGGTAAGTTTTATCCCGCAATCCATGAACCAGTTTAGTAGCCCTTCTCTGAACCCTCAACTAAAAAAAAAAAAGTAGCCACACCTAGACATAAGCCACCCCTACTATAATAAAATAAAATAAGACAGACTGTGGCAAAGGACTACAGCGAAACGTGTAATTTAGACAACACACCACAAAAAAAGATTATCTCCAGAACTGAGGAGGGAATTGTATGTTTGTGCTGGGTGTGTTTTCCTGTTTTCCTGTAACTGATTGGTTATACTGTGGGATGTCCCCTTGCATGGGGACTTGCATAAAAGCCTTTGTGTGGTCATTAAAAGCAAGTTCTGTTGTACCCTTCTTCTTGACTTTGGCTGATGTTTAGGGATTCATATGCTTTATTAAGGGAATTATCTTGTAAAGCTATTTGTATTCGTATGGATTTCGTCTATTCTATCTGATGCTCTGGCGGTTTGGGAGGAAACTACCGAATGAATATACTAGGTTTCCTTACAACCACTAATGCACACTTCATACACCCCTCAGAGGCTTATGCTGAAACAATAGCTGAAACTACTAACCAAATAAATTAGATTTCACTAGCCAAAACGTCTCATATTCTAACAAAATTAAAACAAAAAACGTATTCACAAGGAAATAAAGCCAGGAAAAATATATCCTGAATACTTCGCCAAAAACAGGCAAACTTCCCTACCTGGTAGACAGCAAAGGTACAAAATTATATAACCCACAAGACATCAATGATGAGATGGCGGCATATTACCACAAACTCTACAATCTCAAAGAGGACACAACAGTGCAACAACCAACTACTCAATCAATCACCAATTTCCTACAACAAACCACGTTACCAACACTGACACCCACACAAAGTGCAGCCATACAACAACCCATCTCCTCACAGGAGGTCATTGACACCATCCAAGCATTGCAAATCACCAGGCCCAGATGGTCTATCAAATCTCTATTACAAAACCTTCGCCACCTCACTAGCACCACATTTAGAAACCGCCTTCAACAAAATCCTGCAAGAAGGTTCAATGCCACCAGAAATGCTAATGGCCCACATGGCAACGCTACCAAAACCGGGCAAACCCCCAACCAGGAGCCAAAATCTACGACCAATATCCTTGCTGAATACGGATGTAAAGCTACTGGACAAAAATTTCTCCAACCGCTTGGCACCAATCATCCCCACGATCGTTGGCAGGGACCAAGTCGGCTTCGTGGGAGGAAGACAAGGAGCAGATGGTACACGAAAACTACTAGACATACTATATGGGACACAGAAGGGAGGAGGGCCAAGTGTCTGGCTGTCGTTGGATGCCGAAAAAGCCTTCGACAGACTACACTGGCCCTTCCTTCATGAAGTCATCACCAAATTTGGATTCCACCCTCAGCTAACATCCCTAATCAACGCACTGTACTCCTTACCAACGGCCAAAGTAGTCAATGGCGGCTTCACGTCCTGCTAATTCACAATATCAAATGGTTCCAGACAAGGGTGTCCAGTGTCTCCGTTCCTTTACATACTGGCGCTGGAACTTCTCACACAGATGATTCCAGACAACCCAAACATCCACGGCATAACCCTTCACGGACAAGAACACAAACTAACCTTATTCGCGGATGATATTTTACTAACGCTAGAGCAGCCTCATGTATCCCTACCGAACTTCCATAAACTGCTCAAACAATACAGCCAATGCTCCTACTACAAGTTGAATGTGACCAAAACGCAAGCAATAGGACTACATGTCCCCAAAGGAGAAATGACATCCCTAACACAAAACTATGCATACGATTGGCGCAAAGTCCACGTTAAATTCCTAGGGGTAAACATAACTCCTGAGACAACGAAACTGCACAAAGCCAATTACATCAAACTACTGACTGAACTAAAAACCATCATTCAAGGTTGGAAAGGAAAATACATCTCCTGGACCGGTAGAATAGCAGCAGTCAAGATGGTACTCCTGCCTAAACTCCAATACTTATTCCGCACACTCCCACTCAAACTGCCAATACCTCAAGGACACACAGAAACTCCTTAACACGTACATCTGGGGACCCATAAAACCCAGAGTTGCGAAAGCAACAATGTACAAAACATTCAACCAAGGGGGCATGGGCATGCCCAATGTGACAGGATACTACAGAGCTTCTCATATAGCCCCACTACTATCCGCATTTCCCCACACACAACCACTAACATGGATGAAGATCGAACAAAGCTTTGCAGAAGGGCACTTACTCACACACCTAGCATGGCTACCCAAAGACAAATGACCCATATGCAAGAACATGTTACCCACAACAAGACTCACCTTAACTTTATGGGACAACCACAGAACAAAGCAAGGACTAATGAGACAAGTTCCCCCAGCGTTGCCGATGGCACCTCTGCTGATTCTAATCCCCGACTTCAACCACAAACTCTGGAATAGACATGAAGTACACGCACTATCCCAAATACTCCAAGATTCACACCTCAAGCCACTCGCAAACCTACAAGAAGAGTTCCATCTACCCTCCATAGCTCACTTCTGATTCCTCAAACACTATTCCTGGAACAAATTGCAACATAAGGAACAACCCCCCCACTGGGCAAATTACATCTCCAGTGGAGGTGGAGAAGATTTGTCTATGCATCAAATCACCGAAAAAACTTATCTCCACAATATATGCCTCGGAACACACAACACATAGCATAGAATCACTTCTATTCAAGTCCACATGGGAAAGAGAATTTACATACCAACTAACAGAAACACAATGGAGAAAAATACTCCATGCCAAAAACGAATGACCCTGTGTGCAACACATGTTGAACTATCACGCAAAGTACTATATAGATGGTACCTAGTCCCCATGCGCCACAAACACAGTTACCCGAATACATCAGACACCTGCTGGAGGTGCCAAACTCAAAAAGGCACGATGCTGCATACCTGGTGGCAATGTGACAAACTCCAGACCTACTGGCAAGACGTTCAAAATCTCGCACAAAAATTCAACTCAGGCCGGAAACATTTCTACTTCTACTACCCCCAAAAGACTTACAAAAGATGCAACAATACATATTATACCACATACTTATAGCAGCTGTCACAGAAATCAGTAGACACTGGAAAGATACAAAGCCACCCACAATCGCACAATGCATATACACAGTAGACACCAACTGCAACTATGAACTGATGGCAAGACAAACACAACCTAACGCAGAACCCTGGCGTAAAGCTTGGGCCAACTGAAAATAACACATAACCAACATCACGCCCTCGTGAAGATGATGGGCAAAGAAGGCTCGCTACTTCCTTTCTTACCCCCCCACCTGCCCAACCCCATTCCCCACTCACAACCACCTGTTATTACCAAAACCCGCAAGAAGCCCAATCAACGGGCATAAGAAAACTGCACAGGCCTTAGCAATCCTTAGGCCAAGCACGACCCACATAGCATTATTGACTAAAGACTAAGACCTCCCACATATTGATCCCTCATCCAGACGTAACACAGCAGGAGGTTTACTCAGGGAATATATAATGTATAATGTAAAATGTTTTTATGTTTGAACTGTGAATATATGTGGTACCAAACTACCTGTTTCCCCCCATAACCACCCCTTATTTTCTGTACCCCAAAATATCTGAAAAAATGAATAAAAATGGTCAAATTAAAATAAATTCAAAAAAGCACCGTTTTGTGCTTAAACCAATATTTATACATTGAAACTGGCACTTTTTATATAATTATTTAAGTTCATATTTTTTGCGTGGCTTATTAAGAAATATAATTGTACTGTTTAGTGACCATTAAAATTGTAGCAATTTAAAAGATGAATTCTGATTGATTGTTAAGAACATTTACATGGGTAAAACTGAAGAATGGATAAAGAACGGTTTTACGGATCTCCTTGCGAATAAGATATATTTGATAATAATTATGGGCTTCTTACCATAAAACTACAAAATGCGTGTGAATCATTATTAGACATTTTCATTTATTTGATTCCAACTGCATGAAATGGAGACACTTTGTACAAATTGCAAATCATCAACAATACTTAATACAGTGAATGAGATATTTTCTTGAAATCAGATAAGGTCTTTATATCAGAGTCACAATAATATCTGTATGATTGCTGGGTCCATTGACTTTATCTGCAATCCATAAATCACAGCACTAACACAAAGTCACCTTATAACTCCATAATAAATCCATCCATATACCGACCGCCTGATTACTCCTTAGTCCTTCCCGAATACCAACCATCCAATTACACTATAATCCATCCTGTATACCAACTGCCCAATTACTCCTTATTCAATCCTGCATGCCAACTGGCGAATTACTCCATAATCCATTCCGTATACCGACCGCCTGATTGCTCCTTAATCAATTCCGTATGCCAAATGACAAATTATTCCTTAATCCCTCCCGTATATCGATTGCTGATTACTCCAAAATCCATCCCATATGCCAACTGCCGAATTACTCCATAATCCATTCCGTATACCGACCGTCCGATTATGCCATAATCCATCCTGTATATTGGCTGCCCGATTACTCCATAACCCATTCCGTATACCGACTGCCTGATTACTCCTTAATCAATCCCATATACCGACTGCCCGATTCCTCCATAATACATCCCGCATACCAACTGCCAGATTACTCCATAATTCATCCCGTATACCGACTGCCGATTACTCCATAATACATCCCTGTAACGGCCACCCAGGTTGTTGGAGGGGTGTATGCCGTTGGAGACGTCCTTTTCCCCGGTGAGAGGCTGTGGTGCAGAGTATTCCTGATATCCCATCAGCTGGATCAGTGTAGAGAGGGAGGCAGAGCTCTTACAAGTAATGTATATATACAATAAAAGTGATACACACAAATTCAGCAATGTAAACAACAGGCTCTAACGCTTAAGTGAAGGAATCCCTTAACCTCCACAACATAAAACATGCAAAACAAACAAAGTATAAGCGGAGCTCTGTATTACCTGTATAAACAATGGTATATTGAAGATGAATATTGTAACGGATCGCCTGGCACCCCGACTGGGTACCTCCGTTAAAGGATGCTCCTAGCGCTTCCTGAGGACTCCAAGCACTGCAGCAGACACCACAACCACCGAACCGGAGAAGCATATGAATCCTCTCAAGCATATGAATGCTGTAGACAGTTGAATAGGAACCATACGAATAGGTTTACTCTCCTAGCAGTCAAACTGGAACAGCATACAATAAATCCTTCCCCCAATAATGAGACGACACTTCACTTTGAGGGTTAAAACAGGAACTCAGGTGCTGGCACACCCAGCCTGGTTTTTATTACAGTCTTGCAAATACAGGACCGCCCACAGGGAGGTATAAAACAACCAATCACATCACAGTTACATCCCACATATTTCCTCCCCTTATCCTGAGAGGAAACTCAATTATACATACAGTTAAAACATACTTTCTACCCAACTTTCATAACTCCAAAACCATACATCACATTCACATAAAATTACATATTCACAATCAATCCATTCAGGGGAACAACATATTCAAAAATGGCACAAATCAGACAAGGGGTTCAAAAGTTAGTAAAAAGTCCTTTGTGACTAAATGAAGCATGGCTTTCTGGCCCAAACCAGTTTCAGAGTCTTCTATCCTGGAGATAAGTAATTCAATTATCTCCCAGGACAGACACAAGACTCCATTAAGCACATGGTTGCAAAAAGACACAAAACACTTTAAAATACATAAAGTAACCTTTTCACATAACACACAGACATTTCACATATCCCCAGATAGCTGGGATCTGAGCGCACAAAACTACTGAAGAGCGCTCAGATCCTATTCACACAGTTCAATTGCTATGGAGCCGAAGTCTTTAACTACACAAATGGGCTCCATGGCATAGCTATCTGGGTTAACACATTCTCATAAAGTCTGGTCCATAGTCCAAAGGCAAGAGGCGGGCAAGCAGCCCCCTCCAAGGACACGTGGCGAGGCCGGTTTCGCCACAAATATAATATTATTCAAAATAAGAATCTGTAAATAAATGATCACAGATCTAAGTGCAGACAATAGTCACATAATAATTGACATAAAAAAATTATAAAATCTTTTAGGTGGGTAACTCACAAAGGTGGAGCCAATAATACACCTGGCTCGAGTGGTAAGCGCCTGTGGATCTTCTAGGGGAAATCCACTACCCTCTTTCAGTTCCTCCTGATGTCCTCCTCCTTCAATTTTGGTAGGAATGGAAATGCAGACTCCACAGGGCGGTATAATGAAAAATTTATTGGTAAAATTGTAAATTAAAACATCAAAAAACAAAATTGGATCAAAGTATTTGCAATGAGTCCAAAATGTCCCCAAAACGCGTTTCGCCAGTTAAACTGGCTTCCTCAGTTGGCATATTCCTCCTGTGACCTCTTTGTACTTTTATATAATTCTTTAATGATGAAATTGCCGGCATCTGCCGGACCGGAAGTTGGCTTTGTGGAACGCACGCCGTCCTGGTTGGAACGCACGTACACGCGTGCGTGCGTCGATCACATGATTGGGCCGTTTCGCTTCCTTCTTCCTCGTTGGCGTTCCAACGAGGAAGAAGGAAGCGAAACGGCCCAATCATGTGATCGACGCACGCACGCACGTGTACGTGCGTTCCAACCAGGACGGCGTGCGTTCCACAAAGCCAACTTCCGGTCCGGCAGATGCCGGCAATTTCATCATTAAAGAATTATATAAAAGTACAAAGAGGTCACAGGAGGAATATGCCAACTGAGGAAGCCAGTTTAACTGGCGAAACGCGTTTTGGGGACATTTTGGACTCATTGCAAATACTTTGATCCAATTTTGTTTTTTGATGTTTTAATTTACAATTTTACCAATAAATTTTTCATTATACCGCCCTGTGGAGTCTGCATTTCCATTCCTACCAAAATTGAAGGAGGAGGACATCAGGAGGAACTGAAAGAGGGTAGTGGATCTCCCCTAGAAGATCCACAGGCGCTTACCACTCGAGCCAGGTGTATTATTGGCTCCACCTTTGTGAGTTACCCACCTAAAAGATTTTATAATTTTTTTATGTCAATTATTATGTGACTATTGTCTGCACTTAGATCTGTGATCATTTATTTACAGATTCTTATTTTGAATAATATTATATTCATCTTCAATATACCATTGTTTATACAGGTAATACAGAGCTCCGCTTCTACTTTGTTTGTTTTGAGAGCTCTTACAAGAGCTAGTGATTTAGTTGGATGCAGGTTCCCTTCAATAACGAGACGAGGCTACGTATTTAGGGTTAAGCATAACTGTTTTAATGGGCACACAAGCATTTCTATTATACATATTTTCCCACAAGGTTACCACCCACGTGGACCTTGTTGGGCACTGAAGACACAAACAACCAATCATTTACAGTTATACAGTTAAACACTCCCATTCATTACTGTAAATTCCTCCCCTCTGCTTGGGAGAGATAATAGAGTTAATTGCTGTATCAACTCAATTATCTCCAAGTGAAAAATATACTTTTTACCCAATTTTTAGAACACCAAAACTATACATTCAATTTCAATAAAAGTTAAAATTTTTGAACAAGCATAATTAGGGGACAAACATACTCAAAATCATACGAATCCATTCAGGGATTCGGGAGATAGCTGAAAGCCCCATCCCTGCCCAGCTGCACACGAGGCTCCTGCCCAAAATAGTTACATGTGTTCAGCTGGTGCAGCCGGTCCCTATTCCTACAACTAAAATACCGAACAGTCGTGCTTTTTATTGTTCGTGCCTTTGCTGTTCATGTGCAGCCCCATTCGTGCAGTACTTTTACCGAACGCCGCCTTGTTCGTGTAAATCTGGGCAAAGCTAAGTAGTCCTGGAAGTCTCAGCGGTGTTTGGGAGTTTGAGTGTCCGAAAATAGTTCCAGACACTCGATGACCAAACACTGCTGAACGGGTTCGACAAAACAAGATGGCCGCGGCCACGTGTTCGTACATACGAATGGTCGGCCACCCA